AGTCTGGACTTCAGTACACCGCGCGAGGCGGGCTCCTAGCCTGGCCACCTTTGACGGGGGACGGGGGAACCCCCCCATGCGGCTGGGGATGGGCCCTAACAGGTCAGAGGGAAAGGGCCCCCCCACAGCCACCGGGACATTGAAGGGCCACGCTCAGCTCTCAGCCTAATTAGGGCTCGCAGCCTGGGCCTGAGGGGCAGGCGGGGCGCACCCCGCTAGCGCATCGGAACGAGGAGTTGGGGGGGTGAAGAGGTGATCGGGGTCCCCAGCTCCATTACCACGAAGGGTCTCGCGGTTCCCGGCTTCAGCCAATGGGGAGTCAGCTGCAGGAAGGGGTCCGGGCCGTAGCCAATGAAGGGGGGCGCGCGGCCCACAGTTTGGCCAATGGGGAAGGAGGGACTTGGAGCGGGTTGCCACCTCCCCCTTCCCGGTCTGGCCAGTAGGAGGGGAGCGGGCTGGGCGGGGGGACGGAAGGAGAGACCTGGGGGGGACTGCGGCCCGGGAACCTCCAGAGCGCGCGCGCCCTTTGCGTACGTGCGCGCGGATGCTCCGTCTGAAGACCCGGGCCTCCGCGAGCCCCATAGCAGGGCAGTGGCTGCGAGTGTGCGTGGAGGGTCGTGGCTGAGTGGCAGACACCGCTCGGTCTCTTCTGTGTATGGGTTAATGTAGCTGAGCGTGGCGGAACACGCAGGCGCAGTGGGTTCCGATCGCGGGAGGGGGTATTTTGAAGAGGCCCATGGGTCTTAGTGCGCAGGCGCAGACCGGGCGAGGCCTCTCGGTGGATACCTTTTGCGGCTGCGCTGTCCCCCAGCCCCGCCAAGGGCCCCCTCATCAGCCTCCTCCACCGCTGGTTACATCAGCCAGCGAGGAGCGGGGTTATTAGCGATTGACGACCCGCTCAGAGTGGGGGACCAGCTGAATGTGTAAAGAGGCCGAGAAGGTGGTGGTAGACGGACTACCGTCCTCCCAGGAATTGGGGTGTAAGGCCCTGAAAAGGATTGTCTTTTCTGTTTGGGAGGTAACGTGCCTGAGCTAGGGACTTCCGGGTCTGTGCTGGCGGAGCTTCGCTTTTACATCCGAGATGGGTTATTGTCTGTCTAATGCCGGAGCAGTGGTTTCTTGGAAGGATGCAGCCTTGGCCCCTTGGAGAAAGTGAGACGTTGGTGGTTGATTGAAGACTATTTTACTGGCATTTGGAGGAAATGTGACTAGTGGTATATAATGTCTGTGCCTTTTTCCTCTATAAAGTGAAAGTTTGGAAATCTTGTCGATGAAGTTTAGCCTAGATCAGCATTTTCACATAGTGTGTGGTTCTAGGATGCCAAGTCCTTTGAAATTATTCGTGTAAGAGGGATGGGATTGAACAGATTTCAATAACTAGTTTCTTAATTCCTTTTATAGGGGACAAAGCACTGGGAAGGGACCCCCACAGTCACCGGTGAGTTGTGTATGTGTCCTCCCTCCCCCCCCAAGAAAACAAAAGGTACCGAGACCTAAAAGACGCATGTGTATGAATATAGGACAGACTAGGTACAGAAATAGTTGGGTAGGCTCAGAAGGGCAGGGGGCCCGCGCTTACAAGGTGGGTGTGTGTGGAGTATACATTTTTGGAAGGTGAGATGTTAGCTGGCTATTTATTTCTCTCTCCTATGTTACAGGTATTTGAGGGTGTCTACAATAATTCCAGAATGCTGCATTTCCTTACAGCTGTTGTGGTAAGTGGGCACCTAACCTCTAGGTTGTTGGAGAGATGCCATGCATCTGTTCGATTTTCTTATTTTTCACACTTTCCTAGGGCTCCACTTGTGATGTAAAGGTAAAGAATGGTACCACCTATGAAGGTATCTTCAAGACTCTGAGCTCAAAGGTCAGTGTACTTAAATTAGCTTATTTTTGGAGTTGTGTGGAGGAAGGGATAATGAAGTGGGTTCATTGAAGATGTGAATAGAGTGGTGTTGGACAGCATTTCTTCAGGCTTGCGCTGGATTTCAGTGCTGCAAGCAATGAAAGGCATAGGTCTGAAATGTGAGGGCTGGGTACTTTAATGTAAAAACGCTTAGAATTTAAAGTAAAATTTTAATTTGGGGACTTATGGTAAGTTCTGTGGCTGATATTGAGAAGACATTATGCATGATGTTGGGAAGTTTAGAAAGGTAAAGAGAAAAATAGTCAGATTTGCCTTAATATATTGACCTTGGGTGTTGAAAAATGGGACCTTTTTTTTTTTAGTTTGAACTGGCAGTAGACGCTGTGCACCGGAAAGCATCCGAGCCAGTAGGTGGCCCTCGTCGGGAAGACATTGTGGACACCATGGTGTTTAAGCCAAGTGATGTCATGCTTGTCCATTTCCGAAATGTTGACTTCAATTATGCCACTAAAGGTATTGTGCCATGCTCTCATGTCAAACCCACTCTGTGATGGAGAGCTGAGAGCAGTTACATGATGCTTGATTCGCTCCCATAACCACCCATTTTACTACCTTGTTTTCTGAGGAAGATGACTGGGTTTTTCTTGAGAATGTATCTTGATGTGTAAGATAATGTGGGACAAATTTGGCCTATGTTGTGGCTCTTCCTGTTTGCTTTCTTTTCAACTCCTTGCTGCTTATGAATTTACTAAGATGATAATTTTTAAAAATATATATATTTTATTGATTTTTACAGAGAGGAAGGGAGAGGGATAGAGATTAGAAATATCGATGAGAGAGAAACATCAATCAGTTGCCTCCTGCACACTCCCCACTGGGGATGTGCCCACAACCAAGGTACATGCCCTTGACCGGAATGGAACCTGGGACCCTTCAGTCCGCAGGCCGATGCTCTATCCGCTGAGCCAAACCGGTTAGGGCTAAGATGATAATTTTTATGCTGTGCCTACCCAACCCCCAAACCATGGCACACATAAACTTTTCTTTGCTTCTAAACAATTTATGGGAAGGGGGGGCATTGGGGGAAAGCCTGTGAGATATCACATGATTCCTGATCTTCATCTCTGTGCCCACAGACAAGTTCACTGATTCGGCCATTGCCATGAACTCGAAGGTGAATGGGGAACACAAAGAGAAGGTGCTTCAGCGCTGGGAGGGTGGTGACAGCAACAGTGATGATTACGACCTCGATTCTGATATGGTACAGTCTCCTTCCCTGAGACCCTTAGAGCTGGGCAGCTCTGCTGCCAGAGTGTGGGTTATTGACACCACTGTCATTCTTGGAACTGAGTTGCTTCTGGGGAGGGTGGGGGGATCATTTACTCTCGCCTGTTCATGAAATCAGATTCCAACTGGAAAGGCACAGAAAGTAACAAAACAGAAATACCTGTTCTCTCACTGACTATGATTGACAATTGTTAATGTTTGCTTCAAGTCATTTTTTTCAACTTAACACAAAGTCTAGACGAGTGAATACTGTGTAGGCACATTTCTCTTCCAAAAAAACAGCTACTATACTTTGAATCATTTAAAATTCTCATAAGTGAGAATTACTCTTTAATTTGTACAACAATTTCCTTTTTTGCCTGTTTTTGAATGTTTCGTGTTGCCCCGTAGATGTAGTTTATTGCTTTTAACTGTTGTGTACTGTTCTACTTATGAACCTATC